CGTCATATAATATGATTCATATTTAGATCATTTTGGATAATAAATAAATCTATTTTTATTTTCCATCGTTTTAAATTTCAGTGTTATTGTCAAAAACTGAAATATAATATACAGGGTGTCCGATTTTAATTGATCACACCGAGGTCACTATCGTACGACCCACCTCAAAACTATACAACTTTTGTTCTGAAAGTTTTTCAATTTCACCTGGAAAATTATTCGGGGTGATCGAATAAACTGGGACACCCTATATAACAGAGGTGGTAGAATTTTTTTTGTCTCCTGGTTTCCTGTAGTCAAAATTTGTTTCCACAAAAGATATTTAAAAGAGTATTTTGTTCTTTAATTTGCTGTACTTATAGGTACATTTTTGGTAATTATTATTTGTAAAACTTCAAAATCATGAAATTTTGTTGCCAATATGTATATGGGGCATTCTACGCCAAATCGACCACTTTTAACCTTGTCCCCTTTTCACCCAACTTTAAAAAGGTTATGAATTTTTGAAACAATAGCTTTTTTTTAAGTAACCATAACTTCTTCAAAAATTGAATTATCAGGACGTTTTATTTTCAAAATATTTGTTTTTAAATGTACCTACTTTTTGAAAAAAAAATAGATCAAAATTATACGGACCTATCTTCACTGTTTTTTTTTTCAATTTTCGAAAAAAAACCGAATGATTATCATCCTTGAAATTTTTTTTTCTTATAAAAACATTTTTTATAAATCCTCAAATTTGGTGTTGTGGTGTTTTTCGTTTTCTTTTTTATTGATTGAAAAAAATTTTTTTTTCAAATCTAACTCCTTTCACATAACACCATTTTGAAAATGTATATACATAGAATCCCAAAATTGAAAAAAAATATATGAAAGAAATAATTGAATAAATGAAAAATATTTCGATTTTTTTTTAAAGTTGAAAATCGTTTTGAATCATTTTTTTGTATTTTTTTTCGAAAACTACATCCATAAACAAAGAAAATGAAAAAAAAGTTGTTATTTGATCCATTTTTGGACGATCAATGGGTTTTAAAAAAAGAAATGCAACGCATTTGAACTCAAATAAATCATTTTGAAACCATCCTCTTTTAACTTTTTGAAATTGTCATCAATCGCTGCATAGATTAAATTTTTTTTCAGTCAATAAAAAAAATAGAAAACGAAAAAACCACTAGGAAAAAATTTGAGGATTTATAAAAAATTTCAGTTTTTTATAAAAAAAAATAATCTAAAATGGATCGAAAAATTTTTTTTTTTCGAAAATTGAAAAAAAACTGAAGATCCAGATAATTTTGATCTATTTTTTTCTTCAAAAAGTACATTTAAAAACAAAAATTTTCAAAAAAAAACGTCCCGATAACTCAATTTTTGAAAAAGTTATGGTTATTTTTTAAGAAAAAAACTTTTTTTAAGTTGGGTGAAAAAATTCTCAGAGGTTTTCAATGGAGTAGAAAATAATGCCACGCTCGTCTGTTACCTTCTTCTCATGTGACTGAAATAAGGTTACTAAGTACTGCAAGTTTATTTTGCTTAGCCCTTCATGCGACTCGAGTGATATGAAATAAAAAAAATCATGTAAAAATAAGTAAATGTAACTAAGTTGAAATGGCAAAGAAAGCAATCCTGACCTATCATAACTTTATATAAAACCAAATGGACATAATAGTTACGCAAATATTAATGTTTTTATTTCATATCATTTTTAATAGATCTGCTATCCGTATAAATAAATTTACGGCACTTAGTAACCTTATTTCAGATGATGTTAGACAAACAGGTGAGGGGGGGAAATCGATTTACGTCAGTGTCAAGAAATAATATATTGTTTTAAATAAATACATAATTTCTTCAAATTTCTGAAAGTATGTTTTCCAGGATTTACTGGATCTCAAATTACATACGCTTTAAAAGATGTATAGACTGAATTAGATAGATGTAATGTTGTAAACAGATTTTTTCTTGAAAACCAGGTTCGACCACACAAAAATAATTTCAGATTCGTGTTCGGTACCCTCGAAATAAGGGGACAGGACAAAATTGTATGCAATTTTGAGAATTTAACGCTATATTAAACAATTTCCAAAATTCCTATGACGTTAAGTCGTTCCGGATTAAACTTTTCAATCATAGTACGTTTTTCCTACATTAAGACATTCAGTAATTCAACTTGTCAGTTAATTCTACATCTATCTACCTCATCTACATTATTAAAACCGACAGACAGAGATTTACCTGACGGCTAAAATTTATTTGCCACTTGAAATATCCGCATCTTACAATAAAAATATGGCTAATAGTAGTAGAACGATTAGAGAGATGATGTAAAAATATTTATTATTTTACGAGCCTCACATTTTTTTATCAACGGCCATAAATCACCTTTAGCCACGGAAAGATCTCGAAAACAATTGCCAAAATTTCTCCGATTCACCGTTAAAAATATCCCAACTGTTCCAAAGAAAGCATCGGCGTACGTCAGATAAAATCGTTTTTATGGCGGACGACGTCACTTGTTTCGGCACATAAAAATGTGATAAAAATAAACCTACATAAATAATAGTGTCACGAAATTTTTAATGCTGCCATATGGGTACAATGTTGGGGTGACTAGCATCGAAAGCTTCGCGGTTGGTCTTGGGTCGAGTCTGTTCTTCGGCATCGCGACATCCTTGTGAATATTAAGGTTATGTAGAAAATAAAAGACTGTCGATTTATTTAGATGACATTCATTTGATGTATTTTATTTACTTCAGATCTCAGGCGATTTTGTAAACAAGAAAAAAAGCTGCCAATTTAAAACGAGCTTGAAGTAGACTAGGATTTAGTTACTTACTAAATTATTAAGTTTAAAGTCAGCTAGCAGGTCACTTGATTTGATAATTTGATAATTGAAGTTCTGGTAGTTGTAACATAACCTCATTTTAAATGTTTTTTTGTATATTTACTTTTAAATAGATGTGGAATGTTTTAGGAAATTAGACCTTGAGGAATTTCTTCTTTAAAAAGTGGTATACACCCTTTTATATATTTTGTTATACATACAGGGTGTCCCATTTTAAATTACGCACCTGACTATCTCGTCAGAGAAGCCACCAATCAGAAAATAACCGTTACGAAAGTTGTTGTTTCGGAGGGAGACATCGGATGGTGACCTTGACATTGACCTTAAAGGTCATTTGAAGGCCACCTAATTTTTTAAATAAGAACCTATTTTTGACTCAAGATTCGGAAAGAGCGCAACATTTTTCGTTGAAAGGGGTACTTAAGGCTCTTCTTTGGAATGGCCTTTAGAGGTTATTACAAGGACAAAATATTTTAAATTACGCACCTGAATACCTCGTCAGGGGAAATACCAATCCAGAAATATCTCTTAAAAAAGTTGAATTTGACCTTGACAAAGAGGGACAGCTTTAAGTACTATTTAAACGTAAATGAACGTATCTATCTAAACTTAAACGAGCCTAAATGTAAAATTGTGCGTCCTTTCCGAATTTGGGGTCAAAAATAGAGGTTCCTATTTAAAAAATTATATTTGACCTTCAAATGGCCTTCAAGTCAAGGTCAAATGAAAGGTCGCCATTCGATGTCCCCCTCCTAACCCAACAACTTTCGTAAGGGTATTTTCGGATTGGTAGCTTTCCTGACGAGATATTCAGGCGCGTAATTTAAAATGGGACACCCTGTATAGCCTTCATCTTTAGCGCGATGCGACAGTGCGTGTGGCAAGAGGCGTTTCGATAATATTTTTACTATTTACTGTTAAGTGTACCAGCTACAAAATAAAAGCCTCACAACTGACGCGTCATCGCATAGTGACGTCACTGATAGTGGTTTAGTCAGACAAAGTCGGCGCGCATCGTTTTAGCTTGATTTAATATTTTCAACAACTATTACAAGAAAGACTGTATGGTAAATCGCGGATTTAAATAGCTTTACATGTTTCTTGTGGTGATACGTAATTATCATAATACAGTATTTTTTTGTTAATAACTGATTGTGCAGTACATATGTACATACTGTACTTCGCTAATTTTTTTTATACATACAATATATACTTGTAGTTTAACCGAGTATGTAACTTGTTAAGTGACGTCACGCTTGAGACATTGAGAATCTATAATGGAGGTGGTAATAGTGTAGAGACGGATTTCGTCACTTTTGGTTTATAATAGTACAATACAAATACAGTAAGGGCGTACACTTTTTTATATAGAAGCTTTAAGGAGAATACAGAATTCTGTCCTTCATCAAATCAACCATATTGAAAAGGAATAGATTCTTGTCTGTTCCGTGGGTGTATGGGTGCGGCGGGATATTTAATTGTCTGAGAAATCATTTCTTTGCACCTTTCTGCGCATAAATAAGATTGAAAAGTGGTTCACTAATACAGATAAATCCAGCAGGACAAAGATATTCATGAACAACAGAAAACACAGATTGTATAGATGGAAACAAACACTGTAATGCTTTAAAGAAGTACATTGAGGTGGTGGTGGTGTGCAAAAAAAAATTGTTATTGGCAACTAATATAGTGATATAAATATAAACGTCTAATGTCAAATTGCAAGTGTCAAAGTTTCAAATTCGTTTTGATATTTGACGACTGTCGGAGTAAAGCCTTGGTATGTTTCAGAAAATTAATAGATAAAGGACATATTCAATGCTGTTTGTGCGAAGTGTCAAGTTTTGACATTTATTACTGATGTTTGTTACCTTAAAGAAAATTTATACCAAAAGACACTGATTTTTATTTATACCATCTCTCCAATATAAAGGCTTAGGAAACTATGACACAACACTGGTCTTATTTAAGGTGTCTCTCTACGTTGGGTGCGTACTCGAGACGTAGCCCTCTTAAACATCTACCTCCCCGTCATAGAATGGTGCCAGCGATTTCCTGTGGTATTTTTATTGAAATTATTCATCATTCGATCGACTGTTCTATCGCACATGCATTTGCTGGAAGGTGATAAGATTAAAAGGTCAGATCAACTTACCATTGGCATTCTCGTGGATGGTCGGCGAGACGACTTCCTTTTCCTTCCGCGGCTCCTTGCCGTTGTTTCCTGGAACAAAACAGGAAACTAAAACTGGCTTAACCAAACAGATATAGCGGGTCTCCAGAGAAATCCGCAATTGATAGAAGGGAGATAAGGGCAGGGAATTAGAAAAATAGTATTAAATTTCGGATTAATCTATGAAATTTAATATCAAGGAAACATTTTTTTTACAGCCATCTAAAACATTATGTTTATTTTATAAGATACGGTTGCCGATTTCTCTAATGTAATGGTGTAAAAATCTGGTAGAATATGAAATAAATACTTCTCCATTGAAGTGCCTGTATCTGATTTATAAAATAAAAATAATATTTTATCAGTAAGTAATACACGATCTATTTGTTTTAAAAATTTCGTAAACAATTTAGTCAAGTATCCTGTCGCCGATATATTTTGTTTAGAGTGTGAATGGTCAAAGTGAACTAGATTTGAATGCTAACTGCATACAAAAGAATAATATACATGATCTTTCAAGATTAATTAGTTAAATTTAAAATTTAATGTAAGAAGATAAAGTTCCATAAAGGAAATGCCTGCCTTTTGAGGATGAATTACATTGAAATTAGAAAAATGTTCTTTTTTTGTGAAATATTTCCGGAATGATGAAAGGTCGGCTTATCCAATGGGGTGTTTAATCATAAAACATTTATAGCATTTTGTCACTGAATATTATTCAGTTTATGTTCATAACTAACTCCTCTCTGTGTTCCTATTAGTCAACAAAAGGACAGTGGTAAGAGATTTTAGTTGAGCTTCCTATTAACAGATGGCACAATTAATTTCCAGTTAAATAATTATTTCAGACAAAAATAAAACACAGGGCAAGTTTCTTGTAACATTACAGCATTTTCTGTTAATATTTGGTGACAAACGTTCCATTAAAGAAAAAAATAATCACTATATAAATACATAAACCACGTTATTGGATATTTTGGACTGTTTTAATTCCTGTGGTGTTTCTAAGAAAAAATATTGCTTCCATTTTATTTGAGGGACCATTCGTATAAAAAAACAGTTATAAGATTTATAATCCCTCTAATGAAAATATGGAAATTTACCGTAATTTTTTTTATGTTGCTAGAGATAGAGAGGAAGCATAATCCTAGACCTTCTAACGCTAATGATTTTTTTCGGACTTTCCATAAAAAATTATTGGCGTATAAATTTAGTAATTTTTCGAACCTATGCTACTATTTCGAATAAAATGCAAAATTTCGAATAGGTCTAAAATTAGTTTAGACTTTATTCAACAACTTGGTAACGACAATAACTCGAAAATGGAAAGCATAATTAGTTCAAATTTCACCACTTTACATCAAAATCAAACATCTTTGGACATTTCAAAAACTGCAAAATGTGTGAAAATTAATTTTTTTCTAATGTTGACCACAACCAATGCAAATTTTAATTGGCCTATTAATCCTGCAACACTATATTAGGAAAAAAGTACCACAAATTTAGAAACTCATAAAATATATAAAAAAATATTTTAGCGGACCATAGTAGGATCGTATTCGATGTAAAGTAGAGCAAAAAGTTGTCGGTCTTTTATCAAAGGAAAATCGTGTCACATTTTTAGGAGGCGTAAGATGAACCATTTCAAATTTAAAATGAAATTGAATGTAAAATCTGAAATACCGCTGCATACGCACTGTGTTCTGGTAGTAGCTGTAGTCGCCCAGGTGCATCGAGTGTACGAAGTGGTCGGTTATACGTCAAATACTAACCTGGCGAGCTTGATTGTAAATCAGAGAGCGAATCCAAAAAACAAGTAAACAACAGTGGCCCGTACAGAGGTAAAATGTAGTACATATGTGGAATTTAAAAAACAAATTGGATTTATAATAAATTACATTTAAAATAAATAGTTTATGAGAATAAAGGAATTTTTGTAGGAACAAGGGTGCCAGACGTGAACTGATCCCCTCGTTTCTTCATAATGTATAAAGAAATTATTCAATTTCTAAAACCCTTAAAAGCGTACTGCATTGAATCCCTTGACAGGCAATGATTTATTACTTTGCATCGAATATGATCCCACTATAGGGACCTATCGTCTTTTGTTTCTGAGATACAGGATGCCAAAGAAACATATTTAAATAAAACAACATGTTTTTAAAGGTACAGGCAACTTTTCAAGAGAGCCTATATGCGTTAGTGTCGTTAGTTTTTGATCATCTGCCAGAGGTCGCTAGCTACGACGTTATCCAGTGACATTTTACGGTACATTTTTGTGGTTAGATTTTTTGCGGTGTATGTGGTATTTTATGACGTAAAATTTCGTTTTACATAATAGTGGTACTCTTCCGGAAACGAGTAGGCCGGTATTTCGACGATACCTTTCCTTTTAGTACTGTTTTGTTTCCTTTAACAAGTTACAAGCTTTAAAAAATGTTTTTTATTTTTCATTAATTAAACTTTTAAAGAAAGCGCGTTTATATGTATGTACTGAGGTAACTTGATCGGTTTATTTTCATCTAAACATTTGGCCCATCGATTTCCGGATAGATTGTATGTTACGGAGTAGAAGCTGGTTGATTTTGGGACAGTCAGCAGCATTATCCTCAAAAAAGGTGCAATACCTTTATGTGAAATTAAATGACATAATATTCGACAAAAATCGTAAAAATCTAACCTCAAAAAGTTACCTATTTCCTATACCATAAAACGTTTCTTGCTGTCGTAGAGCTAGCAACGTTTTGTAGAAGGTCAAAACCGACAATGCTGAGGTATTTGGCAGCTTAAAAAATTTGTCTGTGCCAAATTTCAATGCATCATATTGTTTTTTTAGGAAAGGTATGGCTAAAATTTAATTTATAAAATCGTATTTGACGCCCTGTATCCCAAAAACAGAAGATGAGAGGCTCTTGATCCAAAAGAAAAAATCGTCTTAGGTATTTTATAATATTTCTAACAATTCCCGAATTTATGGTACTTACTTTTCCCAAAACACCCTGTATATTGACGTAATGACGAGATAAACAATGGACTATACCCAAGTGTTATTTATTCAACAATAACAGAAAATAGATGTGCAATTTGATAGGTATTGCGTTTGCTGTTTGTTTTTCCCGTAATATTTTATGAAAACCGCAATTTCCTACCGAGCATTAAATACATATTTATCACTCGATTTGTCCGGCTCTTAATAATCGCTGAAAGCCGAAGGAACAAATAACCTGAATATTCTAAGAATTTGCCTACTACTGCGGTTATTTTTAAGATATAGCGCCTCAAGGTCGCTCACATCCCGAGACTGACTGGTTCAGTTTTTGTTTGCCTTGTATAGGCTCTAAACTCTAAACAAATACGGTACTAAATAAACACCAAACGACTACAAAAATGTAAACATAGTTCGTTTTAACGCTTTCTACAACAATCTATGTATGTATTATTTACTGTTTCGTAGGTTATACGGAAATTCTTTCCGTACAAAACGGATAATTCTGTTTTAACAACGGGGCGGCATCTGTGGTCAATTATATGAAACATGCGAAAAGACTGAAGATATCTGCTTTGCGTGCTAGATTTCTACTTCACTTAGTACCCACAAATTACCTTGTATTATGCTTTTGGTTGAAAGATGGAGCCATAGTGAAATAAAGTTAATTTGCAATGTGATCTTATGAAACAGTTGGCAACAAAACGTCAAATTTCGAATGATGCCGCCATTTAACAGCGAGTGACACAATTGACGGTGTACTGTTTTGAACATTTTTGAGTTTTATGGCCACTTGTACAGAAGCTAATGACAGTCAATATAATCATATTTTTGGCAAATATCTTTTATTAAAATATATGGAATTGCAAAAACTTGAAGGTAAGTGTCAATACAAAATACAATATAAAATATAGCAACAGAGGGATGTGAAATACAAATTACAGTCTAGATAGGTATTCAAAATTATGTCACTATTAATCAAACAAAAGAAGGTCATCTTTTGATTGCTTTTCTGGTCAATGCAACATCATCATTTAACGCCACAATAGGCGGGGTTATGTCTATTTTGACACCATTGTACTTTATTTAACCACTGAAGGTTTATTAAGCATTAGGTTTTTAGGCAAAAGGTATTTTTGTGACATTCCGTGACAGATAAACTATATATTTATCAGCTTCTCCAAATATAGAACACGGTTATTATATCATCGCTTTGTGACTTATAGTAATTTGCCGTTAATGCAGCTTTATGTACTCGGTGTCCCAAAAGAAAGGATATGCCTGAATAACTTGTCAAAATACCAAGGGATCAGGAAAATAACAATGCACAACAAAAATTTTCAACGAAATTTTGCCATTTTCGTACCAAGACAATTTTTTTTTCGTTTTGTAAGCAATTATCGGTAGATTAAGAAAAAATCTATGCGAAATGGATGTGTATCGATACTGCATCACTAAATCCTGACAAAGCCCAAGCATTTTTTTCTTAAAAAATTTGATTCCTTGACGTGTTAACAGGATTGCCCGAATTTATTTTCAAAAATAAACGCATAGACCATTGCAAATGCACTTTCTAACAAGCAATTTGAAAAAAAAATCAAGTTTTTAGCGAATACCACCAGCATCAACATTACGTGATACGTATCGCGAGGGGCCCTGTGGCTCATCACTATGACAATATTTTCTAACTCCAAACCTTATTTGATGCAGGATAATGCACCCCATGTTGCGAGGGTAACTCGTGACTACTTGAAAGTAAACAATATAGAGTTACTGCCTCATCCAACTAACAACCCAGACCTCAATCCCATTGAGCATGTATGGGGCATCAATAGGAGATTACGTAATTTGGGGAGGCTTCCGGGTTTGGAATCAGAAAATACTGTGGCAGTGATGAGCCACGGGGTTCCTAATTTGACACATGGTTATATAATCGGCCCCTTTCAGGCCCAAAATGATGCGTAAAGTCCGACCAGCTACCTCCTCGCGATACTTATCAGGTAATGTTGATGCTGGCATATTTGTTAAAAACATATGAATAACTACAAAATGGCATAACTCGGTCAAAAAAATCGTAATTTGATTTTTTTTTCAAAAAGCTTGTTAGAAAATGCACTTTACGATGGTCCATGTGTTATTTTCGAAAAAAAAAATCGAGGCGATCCAGGTAACCCGTTAAGTATTCAAATTTTAGAAGAAAAAAATGCTTAGGCTTTATTAGGGGTATATGGCATCAACTAGCATTCAATTCGCATATATTTTTCTTTAAAGTACAGATAGTTACCTACAAAATGAAAAAAAATATTGTCTTGATACGATGAAAATTGAGGGAGCTATGCGCATTAGAAAAATGGCAAAATTTGTTGCGAAGCGTATAAACGTTGTTGAGGTTATTGGGATCACTAATTGGTGACCTTGGATTTGACTTTGAGGAATTTTCAAGGTTACTTGAAGGTCAACTTAGTTTTTTAAATAGGAGTCCCCATTTTTGACACCACATTCTGAATGGGCAAATAATTTTATGTCCGGATACAATTTTTATTTCAGTTCAGAATGTACAATCGGAGTAGGGTGATCAAATAAAAACATCTTGATTTTATGACAAAGTCAATATTTCGATTTTATTTAAAATCTTCAGGACTAGTGAGATAAAAATTAAATAAAATCGAAACATCGGCTTAGTCAGAAAGTGAAGTCACTTATTTCCTTGCCCTACTCCGATTATACATTGTTGTTACACTATTTCAAGGGTGCGAAAATTATTTGAGATCATTCAGAGGTCGAAATCCAGGTAATTTCATGAATGACTTCGGTGACAACCCTCTGAACTATGTCTTGATCGATTCTCAAAATAATGATTTTATCCCAACTGATTTCACCGAGTTTTATAAGCATTTTCTATTAATCTTAGAAATCAAGTTTAAGACAGAGGTCTTCAGCATAACCTGTAGTGGTACCGAATAATCTAAAATATCAAAATCTTCTGTGACCTCTACAAGGTTCACGCCAACCGATCCTGGTAAGTACGATCTTAGCTAATAATTGTAATAGTGTGTTTGCGTCAAAAAACGTGTAGTTTTGTCACTGAATACTGTTCAACAATGAAAGTGAATGCGAACCGTGCGAGCAATTGTGTTTCTAAAAACCCCTTGGATAATTTTTTACTGGATCTTAAAAAATTGATTACAAACTTGTGACAAATTAGACTGGATGTTATTACCAAAAGCGTCTTATTTCAATAACACCTTCCTGTCTCCCTATTAATAAACAAAAGAAGAAGGGCAGTGGTATGAGATTTTAGTTGAGCTTCTCATTAGTAGATGGCGCAGCTAAGGCATCGTATAGTACATCACAGCTATCCGCCAAATTCCTTTTAATTTTATATTTTTCTAAATTGACATCGACATTTAAATAATGACCATACAAAAAATAAGATAATACAGGGCAAGTTTTTTTATCGCATTATTCCATTTTCTGTTAATATCTGAAAAGGTGACAAACACCCTACCGAGAAGAGTTTCAACTTCTCAATAATCTCCTGAATAAAATCACTCTAAATTGAGATTAGAAATATCCGGCACTAAATTTTTCTGCTCTTTTACAATCCAGGGTCAGAAATGGGGGTTCCTACTTGAAAAAAAAACAACAAGTCGACATTCAAATGACCTTGAAAATAATTCTGAAGGTCAATCCATACACAATGCGCCCCGTTGCATTAGCACGAACAAGAAGAAGAAATCAAACAATAGTTTTGTTTCAATTATCGCATAATAAATTTATACCTATATACAGGGTGTTTGTAAGTAAGTGTGAAATATTTTAGGGAGTGGTTGCGGAAGTCATTTTGTGAAAAAAATTCATATAAACGTAGGTCGAAATATGCTTCGTTTCCGAGATACAGAGTGTTTAAATTTTAATTTTTTATTTATATAATTATTTCAGTTTTAAACATATTGACTCGAAATTTGAAAAACGCTTTGGAGGGATAAATGTGTATTTCTACTTGCACCAGTGGCATTCGTGCGAGAATATCACAACCTTTTTTTTAATAAAAAAAAATCATGAGCCATTGCCTTTTTGTCGTTTTCTTCATTTTTCTCTGTAGGATGCCCCGTTTTTTGAGGAAAAAAATAAGACATATTTTACTGCTATTTTTTGATACACTATCTAGTAGGTTGCTGTCAATATTTCTAAACAAAATACAACCATACAATTTCGAGTCAATATCTTTAAAATTCTTTGACATAATTAATAAAAATAAATAAAAAATTAAAATTCAAACACTCTGTATCTCGGAAATGAAGCATATTTCGACCTATGTTTATATGAACTTTTTTTCACAAAATAACTTCGGCAACCACCCCATAAAATATTTCGCACTTATTTACAACCACCCTGTATTATAATATTAAATTTAGTGAGCACACTGAACACTGCTATTTTTTTTGCTGTTTGCCCGCCTAAATAATCCAGTCGAATATAAAAGAAGTCACTTTTACGAAAATAAACTATAAAATTGGAAAAACGAAACAACGGGTGTGATTAACTTTGAAATTTTACTCACCTTTCTTTATCAGTAAACTAGTAACTCTCCTCAAGGCGTCCCTGGGCGATCTCTGGAAGAACTTGGGGGTTAAATTCGGTGGCAGAGTGAGAGGTTTCCTGCTCGTTGGCTCCCAGGGGTTGTGCCCGGCCGCCGTCCTGTCCAGATGTTCGATGGAAGCGGGTCTCCGGTGCCTCTGTTTCGGATACCAACCCCTTCCGGGTCCCCCGGCTAACCGGAGCAGTTCGGCGCCCACGATGGCCTGTTCCAGGCCCGACTGGGACATGCCGCGGCGGTATCCGCCCGTGGACATGTTCCCGATGGTGTTCAGGCTGCCTGAAGTGGAATTTTTTTTATTAGTACGAGTAATTTCTCGGAGACGGTGCAAAAATAAGAAAAGTATTTTACCCACCAATGGTGTTGCTTTGTCTGGGGGTGGTTTGGTTGCCGCCGGGGATCTCAGGGGCGCGCCGGTGTGGGGTTCTCGGGATATCACAACCTCTGGCGAAGATCGGCGTTTCTGGTAAGCTGCAGGAGGTCTGCAGGTGGTGTTCCTCCTGGGAACTGCTGGAGGATCTCTTTTGGAAGGGTCTCCGCTTTGTGTCTTGGAGTTCCGTAGGGAGGGTTCTTCGCTCGGGTGGAATGTTTCGGTTGGATGTGTTGTAGAAGTTACTGCGCCTACCTGAAATGTAAACTTATTTTGAAGGACGATCACATATTCAAGCCTGCTGCGGGAAGGCATCATTTATTTGTATTAAAGAGCGTATATTTTTTGTTTTTTTATCAAATTTTCTAAAATTTCGAGTTTTAATTTGATATCTTCGGTATGAACTTGAAATTTTAAGCTCAAACTTGAAAACTCAAGTTATTCATATCTAAATTTTCAAAATTTCATGTTCAAAATTGAAATTCTGTATTTCAAACTCGAAATTTTGAACTTGAAATTTCGTATTCAAAATCAAAATTTCAAGTTTTTGTTATGGCAAATTTTCAACATTTCACTAGTTTTTCTGGTAACAGTAGAAAGTTGTGAGGTTCAATTTGAAATCTTGAATTTGAACCTGATATTTCAATATTAAAGCATAAAATTTCGAGACAAATCCAAAATTTCATTCAAGAATGAACTAAAAATTTTGAGTTTCAATTTGCAATTTTGAGTTTGAACTTGATATTTCACGATTAAAGCACAAAATTTTGAGTTTGAAATCCAAAATTTCATTCAAGTATGAATTAGAAATTTTGAGTTTCAATTTGAAATCTTAAGTTTGAACTTGATATTTCAAGATTGAAGCACAAAATTTTGAGTTTGAAATTGATATTTACAAATATCCAAAATCTCATTCAAGTATGAACTAGAAATATTGAGTTTCAATTTGAAATCCTGAGTTTGAACTTGACATTTCAAGATTAAAGCACAAAATTTCGAGTTTAATATTAAAATCTACAAACCCAAAATTTTATTCGTGTGAACTAGAAATTTTGAGTTTCAATTTGAAATCCTGAGTTTGAACTTGATATTTCAAGATTAAAGCACAAAATTTCGAGTTTAATATTAAAATCTACAAATCCAAAATTTTATTCGTGTGAACTAGAAATTTTGAGTTTCAATTTGAAATCCTGAGTTTGAACTTGATATTTCAAGATTAAAGCACAAAATTTCGAGTTTAATATTAAAATCTACAAATCCAAAATTTCATTCAAGTTTGAATTAGAAATTTTGAGATTCAATTTGAAATCTTGACTTTGAACTTGATATTTCAAGATTAAAGCACAAAATTTCGAGTTTGAAAAATTGAAATTTACAATTTCAAAATCTCATTCAAGTATAAGCTAGAAATTTTGAGTTTCACTTTGAAATCTTGAGTTTAAACTTAATATATTAAGATTAAAGCACAAAATTTCGAGTTTAAAATTGAAATTTACAATTTCAAAATCTCATTCAAGTATAAATTAGAAATTTTGAGTTTCACTTTAAAATCTTGAGCTTGAACTTGATATTTCAAGATTAAAGCACAAAATTTCGAGTTTGAAATTGAAATTTACAATTTCAAAATCTCATTCAAATATAAACTAGAAATTTTGAGTTTCACTTTAAAATCTTGAGTTTGAACTTGATATTTCAAGATTAAAGCACAAAATTTTGAGTTTGAAATTGAAATTTACAAATTCAAAATCTCATTCAAGCATAAAATAGAAATTTTGAGTTTCACTTTGAAACTTGATATTTCAAGGTTAAAACACAAAATTTCGAGTTTGAAATTGAAATTTACAAATTCAAAATCTCATTCACGTGTAAACTAGAAATTTTGAGTATCACTTTGAAACTTGATATTTCAAGATTAAAACACAAATTTCGAGTTTGAAATTGAAATTTTGAGTTTCACTGTGAAATCTTGGGTTTGAACTTAATATTTCAAGATTAAAACACAAAAATTGGAGTTTGAAATTGAAATTTACAAATTCAAAATTCCGTTCAAGTATGAACTAGATATTTTGAGCTTCAATATGAAAATTTATTTGATTTCATACTAAAAACATCCAAATTTATTTTTCTACTTGAAAATGTATAAAAAGAACAAATTAATGCCTACCTCTATTGTAATTCACGTCCATGGACCGCGTCTTGAGACTATTTGAGACGGGATCGCCATGTACAGGCACTACGGGTGGCTCGTTGCTGTTGGGCAGGGTGTCCGCCCTGGTTTTCTGGAACGGGTGAAGGATCTCCGAGTATTCGTCCTCGTCCTCTTCAACGGGAGAGGGTGGTAGCGGGGGGAACTCGTGTTGCAGCACCTCCACTCGCACGGGGAAGTCCGCTGACGTGGAGGTGGGCAACGGGCGGTCGCGCTCCCTGTGGGCAATAAGCATTTCTTTGGCACTTTCAGATTTCTGGATGCCATTTCTTTTCGGAAATGGGGTGCTACCTGCAAGAGAAATCGATTTGAGGGTTGCCGTCGTACATAATTTTCTAGAAAGTTGCCCCAGACGTCATTAAAAGTTAGAAAGTTGGCTCAAATTCCATTAAAACTACAACCGTATCGTTACCACTCTTAATATAAGGCCCCATAACAGTCGCGTCAGCTCTTTGTGCAGTCTTTTCAGTGCGCAAAATTGTTAATTTAATTTTTTTATTTTTTGGTGACTATTATAAGGTTAATTAAATTGTAAAGAGAGATTTTAAATAATTCTATATATCATACGCAGAGCACAAATGGCTCCATCTATTGCTCTACTTCCCAAATATGCGAATCTAATGGCTACTACCATTAGAAAGCGACCTGCTAAAATTTGACAGGTACTTATTTGCACGACACGATTTATAATTCAATGCCGGTCCGGGCATATAGCCCGCAGAGTAGTTATTTCTCGCAATACTGGCAATTTAAAAAATTCTATATATATCTATAAATTGTTGTGTGTGGTATTAGAGCAAGAAATAAAGGTGAAAAATCATTGAGAAATATAATTTTTGCAAAATTCTATTTATTTATCCCATTTTTGCAAAAAAGGCCCATTTTCAAATGATTATTCCGGGGGCAGGGTTATGACTAAAACATTGTTTTTGGGCTCATTTTCTTCGAAGGGACACCAAGAATCCTCTACTTACAAAATTTTTATTTTTTTTTCAAATTTAGTTGTATGTAATTGTTAACAAATAAAAGGCACTTTTTCCCCTAACAAACAAATAAAATAACTACATTCATACACCATTCGGAAGCTCGTAAAAAAACCTACAAATTGAAAAAACAAAATTTGTATGACCAATAGGTCCGGAGTTAGCAATCTTTTTTTTTAAATCGCAGAGCAATTTTTTATAAACATTAAGACCTGAAATGTTAACATTTTGTAAATGAAGGTTTAAACTTTATGCCCTGTTAATTTTGATTGAATTTGCACATAATTGATCAATCCAGAGCCCGTCAAGGTAAGGGTACGCGGCAGTAGCCCTTCAGGGAGTGGTGGTGGGGGGATCTTCCTTTCAACCAAGAAAAAGCTGACAATGAAAAATTTGTACTATCTCAGCTTCTATGTAATGTAGAACCGTCTTTTTTTTAATGTGGGGTAGCTTGACGAAAAAATTACTTCTGGATTATTTCTACCCTTGTAAAGGGGGTGGCCCCTACCCTCTGAAAATGAATTTTTTGAGATTAATTTTTTTTGCATTTTTTTAAATTGAAATGATTTAGACAATAGTTCTCAACAAAAAAATGTCAAAATTATTTTAACCCTTCAAAATTAGTCAGTATCTATGGAAATATTTTATATATTTTTATACTAATTATAAATAAATATATTAATAATAATTTTACAAAATAATTAATCCTTTAGTCAATATACAAAATCCATAATTATATAAAAAGTATGAAAAAATAAAAATAAAAATATAGATTTTTTTGAGGGTTGAGGTAAATTAATTTTGAAGGGTTAAAATAATTTTAGCAACATTTTTTTATTGAGAACTATTGTCTAAAACATTCTAATAAAAAAAAATCAAAATAAAATTTTTCTCAAAAAATTCATTTTTATGGGGGTAGGGGGTGGTTCCCCCCATCACCACTCTCTTAAGGGCTACTGCTGCGTACTCTTACTTTGACGGGATCTGGATTGATTAATTATGGCTAAATTCAATTAAAATTTACGGGCCATAAAGTTTAATCCTTCATATACAAAATGTTAAAATTTCAGGTCTTAATGTTTATAACAAATTACTCTGACTTATACAAAATTGCTATCTCCGGACCTATTGGTCGTAGAAACTTTTTTTTTTCAATTTGTAGGTATTTTTACGACCTTTCGAATTGGGGTATATAACTACTTTCAAAAGTAAAAGACTGCGGAGTTATTTTATTTGTTTGTTAGGGAAAAAAGTGTCTTTTATTTGTTAATAATTATATACAACTAAATTTGAAAAAAAAAATACATTTTTTTTACTAGAGGATATTTGGTGTCCCTTTAAGCAAAATGAGCCCAAAAGGTATGTTTTAGTCATAACCCTGCCCCCGGAATAGTCATTTCGAAATGGTCCTTTTTTGCAAAAATGGGATAAATAAATGAAATTTTGCAAAAACTATTTGATCGATCGAGCCCATCTTTTATTAATTATTTAAAAGTTATTAACAATTAAAGAAAAAGCACTTTTTTCGTTTAATTTTGCAATAAATTTTTTGTTTATACAACAATTTTAACTTACAAAGTCTCATTTTAAAATAGAGTTTCTCTAGATCAAATCGTCTGTTGAACATTTTTTGCTAAGATTAATAGTTTTTTTACAATAACACGTAGAACGAAAAATGACGAATTCTGACGTCGACTTTTGTTGATAAAAAACAATGACGCTGTACTTGACAAACGAGATGAGATGCCTCTTGTATTATCATTCCCAAGACTTTCCAACAATAAAATGACGCCTACTAATTAATAAATTTCAAAATATTTCCTTTCCTGGCCTATAAGTGCTTATTAGGAAATTTTGTATTTGTATTGTTATTTTAGATTAAATTTTACTGTAGAAATTATAGAGAGTGACTCACCGCTAGCTCTTGGACTAGTAAAGAGGATAAAAAATCCATAGGAAGAGAATAAAGAAATTTGTAATTTGCCATTTTTGAACAAGCGGCATTGTAAATTACAAAGGAGGAGGGCCTCTAAGGCCAGTTTTCAGCCCCTTTTGTTTTTTTCAAAAAAAAAATTATTTTAAGTAATTAATTATTTAGTAAGTATAGGTCATAAACAGTCGATTTGACCCTAAACGGAATCTCAAATACATCCCCCCCCCTTATTCACTCCACAGTCCCTATGATAAAATAATAGGGTAGCATAAACGCCTTGTAAGTGATTAACTATTTGCCAGACTACTACCCTTAAGCCCTTTTACATATTCGCTCATACCCTGCCCCCCCAAACAGTACCCCTCCCCCCCTCTGATTTTATTGAAACTACTCTTAGTGTTACCCAGAAACAACGACGTGGACGTGGTGGGTATTTGTTCCTTTTGGGGTGCTTTATTAACGTGAGACCCCTTGCCTCTCACTGGGGTGCTTTATTAACGCGAGCGGGGGGGAGGGGTACTGTTTGGGGGGGGGGCAGGGTATGAGTGAATTAATATGTAAAAGGGCCTTTAGTCTGGCAAATAGTTAGTCACTTACAAGGCGTTTATGCTACCCTATTATTTTATCATAGGGACTGTGGAGGGAATAGGACTGTGGAGTGAATAGGGGGGGGGGGGGGGG